CACTGAATACCTATTACACCCCATGGACTATGCTAGAAACTTTTACATAGAAGCTTTTAATCAACTTTGAGTTCTGTATTAAGGCTGAAAGAAGTTAGAAGGAGGTAGTAGAGCACAGTATAAACAGTATAGACTTTACTTTGACATACGTAAGTGAAAATCATTCCCTTGAATGTTATGCTATTAAGTCTCTTCACTCTAGAGTTTTTCTTCTATAAGAAAATAATCTCTACTTATAAGATTGAGAGAAATGAGAATACAATTAAAAGTGTATATAAGAGGTACTCAAAAAGTTCCCTTCAATCCTACTTCTCCTTTGTTTGAAAACTAAACAAATGAGTACCAAAATCATCATTCAAAGTTAAATTTGAGAAGCTTACATTGTGTTATTTTAGGCCTAATGGAGATGAATGTGCTTCAGTAAATGTTTAAAAATATTTTAAGAATCCACAACCAATATCAGGTATTAGGGATCAATTTTTAAAAACTACTTACACATTTTTTCTGAAGTAGTTTCATTCTTTTAAAGCTAAATCACTCCTACAACTCTTCTAATCTTGTATATTCATTTGACATACTAATATCTATGAAAACAAAGACATCTTGGTATATATAATTATCAATGAAGCAATTCTGAAATGGTTGTCCTGTAAACCAGGAAAGCTGGCAGGAAGTACAAAAACAATGATTTAATTCCCAACTATCTTTCTATCAGATATATCATACTGTCACATGCTTGGACTATTATATGAAAAATTAGACAGTAGTTATTTTAAGTGTAGTAAATATGTTCCAAGATTTGTGATGAGAGAGGTCAGTCTCTAAAAGTTAACAAGACTTAATAGCTTAACAATGCTTTTCACTCTGTACAGTTTAACAAATCACCAAGGCCAATACTAAACAATGCAGCCGATCAATTTATTCAACTTCTGCCAACCAACAACTTTTTAAAAAAAAGTTCAAGTGGACTTCATGTTTTATGTTGCGTGGACAGTCAAGTTTCCACTTACATAGTATTTTAATATTCTTTTGCTTTCAGGGTTTATTTCCCCTTAAAATTGTGTTTAAAAGATCTAATTATTCTTCTAACATATGTTCTTTTCAAACCTGAATACTCTCCGAACTTCTATAAAAATTAAGTAGGTTTATTAGACAATCTACTAGAGAATTTTCCCTCTACTTTTAAACATAAACTAGATGAGCTTAATTTGCTTTATTCTGACAAATTTTCTCTTTGAGGTTTGGTCACTATCCATTTCCTGTGTTGCACTGTACATATCCTCCCTATAGTTACTATTCTCAAAACAAATACAATGATGATCCCCTAACACACTACATGAAAGAAGCCAAGCACTGGATATCATCTGACAGTTCTGTAAATTATTTTAAATGGATACTGACATATGCTTTCTTTGATATTTTTATCTTTCAAGAAGTTAGCATGACCACATTTGGGAGGAGCCAGAAAGGTTGAATGAAAGATAGGAGTGAATCAGATTGGAAGCTCTGAATCAGTTTCAAGTCCAACACTTAGAAAGTTTGACTTTAGAAGTCACTGATTCCCTGTGCCCAAATCACCCTTCAATGAGCAATAACATTATTTCTACATAACAGTTATCAACAATAAAAATAAAGTAACAAACAGACAACACTGTGGTGATGGCCTGAAGGAAAGCGAAGGTAAGGGCTGGGTGGAGGGCAAACAGGGAAAAAAATAGGGACAACTATAATAGCATAAACAAAAAACTAATAAAGTTAAAACAAAGTAAAAAAGGTTTCTTATTAATTTTAAGTTCAACTTAAATTATACATAAACACAAAGAAAAAACAAAGAGCCAATTGCAAATGAAGGAGTAAAAGAAAAAATTACTGAATCCTATAAAACCCCCTTCCTCCCCACAACCAGAAAAGTTGGAAGCGATAAAACACTCAGAGAATTACAGGACATCATCCTAACATTAACCTATTAAACTATATAACACTCATGAAACAGATGTAAAGTACTTCTGGTTTTAAAGAGAAAAGAACCCTAAATGTGATTCTCTAAGGTCACAGATCTTAGATTAGACATCAGATTAAACTCTAGATCTTTGTACTCTTCATAATTTTAAACTGTTGGATCAAACTGAAAAATGCTACCATTACCTCACTCTCTATGCTATCCTCTATTATCTGTGCTGCCCAATAAGGTAGCCACTAGCCGCACTTAACTCTTAAGCACTTGGTATGTAGGTAGTCCCGAACTGAGATAGCTGTACATGTATAAAATACAAACTAGATTTTGAAGACTTAGTATGAAAGAATATAAAATATTTCATTAATTATTTTACAATTACATGTTGCAACAGTATTTTGGAAATAGTGGATTAAATAAAATTCACTGAACAGCACTGGTCCATACATACTTCTTTCCAAAGACCTCTCAATGGAATGTGATTACAACCAAACCAACTAGTAGTACATATTTAGAATTTGTTGTAGTATAACACAGAATCATATTGGGGGGGGGGGAGGAAACGTGCATAAGTGTTTTGAGGGACACAAACATAAATGTAATTAATAAATATATAAAGTAGGCTATTCTAGTGTACTCTAAGGACTATAAAAGATGTTTCTACCTCAATACAGGCATGTGAGACTTTGAGTAGTCACAAGTGAAGAGAAAGTATGCCTTTCCATTAGAGTCATATCACATTTCCTTAGGTGGAAAAGTAAAAATATTCCTATTGTAATGTACACACAGGCTTATCAAAGTTAGCAGAGGGTGCTCATAAGGCACTATGATCATTTCAAAAAAACTTGCCTAATGTGTATTTATAAATCACGTTATCACAATTTTGTTCTAATATAGAGTCAACACTTAATCTTATTTTGACTAAAGTAATGAGATATATAACACAGTAAGGGGGCACATCAATTTAAAAAATAAGGATCACTTAAGAGAACTGTTTGGCAATTCTATAAAATGTTACATATAAAGTTACCATGTGACCAGTAATTCCATTCCTAGGTATATAAAGAGAAATAAAAACATAGGTCCACAAAAATATGTACATGAATGTTCATAGCACTATTATGTATAGTAGAAAAAAGTGGAAACAATGCAAATGTCCATCAATGGATAAATAAAATGTGGTATATCCATAGTGTGGAATATTATTCAGCCATAAAAAGGAATGAAGCACTGATACATTCCTGTTGCATATGTGAATCTTAAAAAAATGATGCCACTTGAAGCCAGTCACAAAAGATCACATATTGTGTAACTCTATTCATATGAAATATCCAGAATAGGCAAATCTTAAAGATAAACAGTGACTGCGAAAGGGAGAGTGATTGCTAATGAATTTGTGTTTCTTTTTGGGGTGATAAAAACATTCTAAGAGTGATTGTACTGATGGTTGCAACTATGTGAAAACATCAAAAGCCACATTAAATGGGTGAAATGTAAAATATGAGAATCGTATCTCAACAAAGCTGTTAGAAAAATGTAGGCCAAAATTGAGGGAAAAGTATTACAAGGATTTTTCAAGCATCTAATTGCTATTTTTCTGGATTTTATCACTGTATAGTCTTTGTCTTTACGTTTTGTCATTTGCGATTTTTTTTTCATTTTTAACCTTAAAACAATCAGGAAATTAATGGCCTACTCCTAACCACTCAATAGTTCCTCAAACTTTGAAACCCACTTCAGAGATAAAATGGCTTTGGGGAAAGCTCAAAAAATAGTTACTATGTCAGCCAAGCAAATGGTACAAGTTCAGAAACAGGTGATGGGAATTTGGAGATCTCAGTATACAGAAATACCCAGGGACAACATAAAAAAAACTACTTTACCACTTTCTCTGAAAAGCTAAACTCTTAATCCATTCCGATGCAGAATGCATTGAAAAAAACAAACAAAAAACCCAACCCTATTTATGTAAACTCTTAAAACTAAAGGGAAAAGGTCTATCAAAAATCTGTGTGTGTGTGTGTGTCTGTGTGTGTAACCCTCACACTGCATGTATCCTAAGAACCTCGGGGAGCAGCTAAATATGAGGCAATGAAGGGTTTTTATTTTCACCCTTTTAAAATAATAAAGCGATGATGCCATTCCCTAGCCCACACCATCCCCCACTACCACCGCCAGCAGGTGGAGGGAAAGGATACTGTAGACTAGAGGATGAAAGCTTTGTATAACCCTTTGGACTTTATATGTAAGAATGCAGCTGGTAGTCTCTCAAGGGGGGTGGGGGTAAAGAGATTTGTGAATAAGCTGAATTAAGGGGCATCCTTTGCCTGGAAGAGGGCACACGGTGAGCCACATCTTGAATCAGCTATGTCCATAGCAAAACAGAGGCCGCAGGAAGGCACTGTTAGCATCACCAGGATGGCCACTCACGCCGGGGGTGTTTTTTCAACGGAGAAGTTGAATCCTGTAGTTTGAATATCGGAGGGAGGCAGGGGTAGAGCGGGAATTGGGAAGACCAGAAAAAAATGCCTGTAAGTGGAGACGCCTCGGGCCTCGCCGAGGAAGTACCGAACCCCACTCGGTCGCCACACGCTCACACTCCCCAACCCCACCTCCCACTGCACTCCTTCCTGCGGCGCCAAACGCCGGTGCCCGAGAGAAAGCCGGAATCTCCGTCGCCGCCTCCGCCGGGGTGGGGGCCGCAACCGGGCCGGAGCGGCACGGCGCACGCACGCCTCCTCCGCACTCGCCGCGCCCGGCGTCCCCGCGGCGCGGCCCAGCCCCTCGCTCCCGCGACGGACCGGCTCCTCCGGGCAGGCCTAGGCCGCGCTGGCTGTACCCCAGCACCTAGCTCCCCAGCAGAGGCGAACCAGGCCCGACACAAACTTCCCGGCGCGTTAGCAAAGGCGTCACGGACGGGCCGGCCCCCAGCGCCATTCCCCCGCGGCCCGGCGGCAGCTCCCGCCCCTACTCCCCAAACTCGAAGTCCCGGCGGAGATCGGTCCGAGGTCCAAGGCCCCCACCCCTCCCGCACCCCCGAGTTTACCTCCAAGTCGCGGCCTTTGTTCTTGAAATTCTTGAGCCGTTGGTTGTCCAGTTTCTCGTTGTCCGCCATGGCCGGGCCGGTGACTCCTTCCCCCGCCCGGGCCCCGCGGGATCCGCCCCAACCACCACGCCGCACCGACACTCCCAGGAACCCGGCCGCCGCCTGAGCTGCTGTGCTCGCCGCGCCGCCGCTTCCTTCCTCCTCTCACCTGCCTCTGCCGCGGCCTTCTCCTCCTCTCCCCACCCGTCCCACCCCCCGCCCTAACCCCAGCGCGACAGCAGCTCCAGCAAAGACAACTGCGGGGCCGGGCGGCGGCAACCGCGGCGGAATGTGCTGCCGGCTGAGAGGGGGAGGCAGCCTCGATCTGAGGGCCCCGGCACTGCGGCCACGCCCATCGCTGCCAGCTCAGTTCGCCAATTGGCCGACCAGGCTGTGGTGCACTCGACCAATCAGAAAGGACAATGGAGAGCTGGGGCGGAAGAGCGAACGAAAGGGGAAGCAGGCGGCACCGGGAGGAAGGGGCTTAAGGCCCTGAAGGCTGGCAGAGGAGGGGTAGTGCGGGGGAGAGGAGGGGCGCGGCGGGGGCCGGGCGGGGAGGGACCACGTGCTTGCGGAACAAGGGGGAGGAAGCCAAGAGATTTAGACTTGAGAGGTGGGAAGGGGAAGGAGAAGGCTGGGGACGATTTGTTCAGCTCTGGTGGTAAAGGCAGCCCCAGACTTCTGGAGTCCAAGATAGAAGCCGAGTTAAACTACGTTCTTTTCTTCTGCGTTTTGCCTTCTCTTCCAGGGCATTCTTTGCGCGCTCCGCTGGATTTACAGGAAGTGGGAGCTGCGCCTCGGCATTAATCTGGGTCAGAAATCACCCTCGTCCAGGTCCCCACCGAGCTCCATTCTGAGGCTCGAGGTCCCAGCCCTCCAGGGGCCGGGCTTTGAGGAGCGGACTGGCAGGGTTGATTTACTTGCCGGAGGCTCAGCGGCAAGCTGGAGGGACGTTGGGTGGAAAAGGACGCTTTAGACAAATCTGATTCATTCTCTCTGACCAAGTCCCCGCAACAGGTAGGAACTTGTGGACCGCCGATGATACCATCTCCTAGGTATTTCGTCCTAGATAAAGTAGCTACTTGGCCACAAAGTACTAGGTTCTGTAAGGCAGGGACCGTGGCACCTTACACAGTAATGAACTATTTTTAAATGTTGAAAAAGGAAATAAATTTTAAGGATATACATCTTTATCAGGAATATTATCGCCAGAGGCAGAAATAACACGAACTACAAAAAGAATGTACTCAGATATTTCGGAAAAAGGAAGAAAGACATGACTAAACAATATACTTAAATATCAACTAATAGCTCTTTAAATGTGCAGAAAAACGTGAAGCACAGTAGTCAGCAGCCACTGAGGTTGGATGTGTGTGTGTGTGTGTGTGTGTGTGTGTAGATGTGTTTAAATTTGGCGAGGTCCCCCTTCCCTCCCAGTCCTTACTGGTGTGTGTGTGTGTATTGTACATACATATAATAGTTGTTTTTTTGAGTAGAACAATGTGCAGAGATAAGACGTTTAAAATGGGGATAATACCTTTGAAGTCCTCGATATTTTGTATACTTTGACCTGCCTAGACTAACAGAAGCAGTACCTGGAAATAATTCACACTGAAGGTTAACTGATTGGAAATTCATTGTGGATTTTAATGATAATGTTTGTTATAAATCTTTATAACCCAAAGATTCATTTAATTGAAGTAACATTGCACATTGGAGCACTGTATTTTTTAAAATTATATGTTTAGAATAAAATTCAGTCAAAAAGCTGAAATATGTGTGTATTTTCCACCAATATGGATTTTTGTCACAAGCAGAATTCAAGAAAACAAATTACTAGGCAAGTAATTTTTTTGCTGGTGGAGGGTCTAGTGAATTCCTACCTTATAAGTAGAAGTTATCTTGCTAATGTGCTGTGTAAAGACTAATATTTTGTACATTTTGGAATAAATTCCATCATAGTTCTCATGATAAAGGTTATGAAATTGTCTACCATTATATATCTTCATGTCTCCCAGTTACAACTGGTTGTCTCTGATGATTGAACAACTGGACGTTCTCTGCAGAATCCTCCTAAGAAGAGTGCGTGATCACTGTTGCCCATTTAGGAAGGTACAATAAAACAGGAAATAGCCATAATGTGTAATTTCAGTTCTTTTATTATTATTATTATTTGTTTAATGTCTGTCTGGCGTCTGTCTTCCTGGCTAGACGACAACAAGCTTTCAGAAGTCAAGGGTCATATTTGTTTTGTTCTCTCTATACCCAGCACCTAGTACCTGGCACATTGTTTGCTCTCATTGACTCTTTGTCAAATGCAAGACCTGAATCTAAGCTACTTTGAGTATATGTTTCATAAGTTTAAAAACAGGCTAATACTTCTTGATTAAAAATGTGGATTGAGTTGTTGCTTCTGATTTACACTGGGTTCCTTCTAAGAATTCTTAACTTGATATCATGCTCATTCCAGAGTTGAGGTTCAGGGAGTAGGTTAGACATGAATTTCAGGGTAAATCCCTTCTACATATTTAAAAATAGTTGTGAAAAAAAATAAAAGTAGTTGTGGCACACGTTGCTAAGATGAACAATTATTCTTAATTATAATGTTTAGGTAGTATGTTTGCTGGCCTAAATTTTTCATTTGAAATGATCATACCTATTGCCATTCAGTTTACATATTTGGTGTTTGTACTTACAGTTGTTCTAGATCAGGGGTGTAAAACTAATTTTCACTAGGGGCCACATCAGCCTCGCAGTTGCCTTCAAACGGCCAAATGTAATTTTAGGACTGTGTAAATGTAACTACTCCTTAACTAGGGGCAAGGAGCTTGGGGCTGCCACCGGGCGGAAACAAGGTGCCAGTCTGGATAAAACAAGGTGGGGGGCGGATTTGGCCCATGGGCCTTGTGTTTGCCACCTGTGTTCTAGATAGAAGATACATAGTTTACCAGAGGAGTAAAGAAGTTAGTCTGGGAGTTGGTAATTGCTCTAAAAGCAGATTGGCAACCTAATTGGGAATATATGGTAGGTCTAACTATAGTTAGGAGATATCAGAAATTCAATTTGCTGAACTAAGAAAATAGTAAAATATAGCCACCAATACCATTTTAACATGGACTATTTAACAAATGTTTTTTTATGTGTGTATATGAAATAAAGTTATAACCAAACACTATAAAACCTATACAGGCATACCACAGAGATATTGCAGGTTCTGTTACAGACCACTGTACTAAGGCAAATATCACAATAAGGCAAGTTGTACTTTTTTTGCCGGTGGAGGGTCTTGCCTTCAATTTGTAAAACATGCAACACCTGTGAAGTGAAATCAAATGAAGCACGATAAAAGGTGGCTATGTATGAGGTCAGTTTTCCAATAGAATGTTCGTATCCTCAGTTGTTACAGTGTTGGTATAGGAAAAGTTAAAGTGTTATGGAGATAATTGCTTTTAATGTGTCACAAAATTCTTTTACAGTCACTTTTCTGAATAAAGAAACTTTCTCTGTTCTGCAGAAGAGATTTGTGAGAGCAAGACTTGTGAAGCTTTACAGAGGATTATAATTGATCAAAGGTAATTTCAAAAAGAATTAAAATTGATAATTATTTCTTTTAAGCAGTTTAGAGTATTCTTATGATACATATACTAAATTGAAGATAGTGAAATCCCTCTTTATTGTAGACTATGGATCTTATAGTTTCTATTAGTGTTGGGTAATTGTGTGTGATTTCTTGAGCTATTTGTGGGGGTCGGGGGAACAGAGGAAGCTGGGAAAAACAGTTTCTTTATTTTGAGTGAAGTACCTGCATGAAAAGAGATGATGATTTAAAAGACTAGCTGTTGATACTAACTTGGTTGAAAGAGATGAACGAACCACTAGTATTTTTTAACTTAGTTTTTTAAGCTTAGTTTTGACTAATTAATTAGAGAGAAACTTATAATTCACGTGTACAAATCATTGGTTGATATCTACTTTTATTGCTACTAGGCAAACAGGTATAGCTTTTCTAAAACTTTTTATTTGGGCCTAAAATACTGGAAAATGAAAGGATGTATATACTATTTATTTTTAATTTTTAAAATATAACTACCACAGAAGGAGCAACTTAAGAATCCAAATAGTCAAGGAGACAATCATATGACTTAGAGCAATTTTCTCAAATAGAGAATTCCCCAGAACTAGATGTTAGTAAGTGCTCCTTTAAAAAAAAAGTTTCTTTGGTCTAACAATTTGAGGAACTTGAGGGTAGGAGAGTAGTGAGAACTCGGAGACATTAGTGTTAAGTAGAACACCATTTGGAAATTTGAAATCAATGAGCTAGAAAGATCACTATTGCTCCTCAAGTTAAAAATGTGTTAATAACATCAAGCAAGTATAATGACTTACAAATGGGTGGTGTTTCAGAAGTTTGCTTTTACAGATTAGTTCTTTGAAATATTTGTATAAAAACATGATAATGACTAGGACATAGATGCTCAGATTAGCCCACAAAAGTTTATTTAATCTGTAAGGTTATATGAATGTCATAGGACCCAGTCACAACATAAGGCAAATATTTCCATGAGGAAAATATTTGGATTTACAACTTTGGTCAGGAGAAGTACATCCCATGTATTTGTCATTTGTATTTTTGCTGTAATAGAACCGATAACCAGGTGTGTTAGTGATGAAGTTACAAAGATTACATTTTCCCTTGCACTTGGAGTTCCATGGATCAAACATTTTACAAATTCACACCTGACCTGATGTAATGGAAGCCTGGCCTAGCTCTCATCAGTCAGGCGCCCCTGGTCTCCAGTAGCCCATACTGGAGAGCAACGCCAGAATTCTAGTGACTAGGACATCGGACACTGGGGAGTAGATGGGTTATAAGTCCAATTTCTTGCCCCAATATTTTCACTTCAGGCAAGCCCCGTACCCCTATCTTTTCTTTTTGTAATATAACCGCAGTAATCCCCCAACCTCCCACAGTAGCACCTCATATAACTATAATACACTGTCAAAACCAGGAAATTGATACTGATGTAATCCACAGAGCTTCTTTAGAGGGGAGGGAAGACATTAGAATGTAAAGAATATATGAAAATATCGGAGGGTGCCTACACACTGGAATCTGTGATAACCCTATGCTTTATGAGAAAGAATTCCATGACAGTAATAATAATTGTCACACATATTGAATACCTACCATATGTGAAATATTTTGGTACTATATTGTTGTCATTTGTATTTGTGCTGTTAGAAACATCTGACAATTAGTGAGCAATTGTGTGGCAGGCTGTCTTCTAAGCAGTTGATACCTATTAATTCATTGATAATCCTCACAAGTATATTATTACTCATTTTACAGAAAAGAAATTTGAAACACACAGAGAGATTTAGTAATTTGCTGAAGATCACACAGTAAATAGAAGAGCTGACATTTGAACTGGGTCTGACACCAGAGCCAGCACTCCTGATTACCATGTAGGTACATAAATTCAGTGTTCATGGTAACCTTTCAAGGTAGGTATTATAATTTCCATTTTCTATATGAGGAACCTAAGCTTCAGAGAGGCTAAGCAACTTGCTCAAGACCCTACGCAATTAACAGGTTCTGGAGCCCCAGTTTGATTCCAGGCCTGACAAGCTGCAAGACCTCCACAATTTTTAGTTGACCATTGCTATGGACTCAATGTTTGTGTCTCCCCTGCTCCTCAGAAAAAAACCCTTATGTGTTGAAACCTCATCCCCAATGTGATGGTGTCTGGAGGTAGGGTCTTTCAGAGGTAACTAGGTCTCGGGATACAGCTCAAGAATGGGATTAGTACTCATCTAAAAGAGGCCTGGAGAAGACCCCTCATCCTTTCACCCAGTAAGGTTACTGTGAAAAGACAGTGGTCTACGAGGAAGAGAGTTTTCACCAGACACTGAATGAACTGTCACCTTGGTCTTGGACTTCCTTGCCTGAAGAACTGTGAGAAATAAATTTCTGTTTATAAGCCACCCAGTCTATGGTATTTTGTTATAGCAGCCTGAACAGACAAAACAATTATACTATCTCCCTGGCCTATAGCAGATATGTACTGGACCTCTGTTATGTGATTTATATAAAGATATATATATATATTTGGTCTTCCTCCATGGTTTCTGGCACATAACACCTGAAACTTCTGTAATTTCCTTATTGATAAGAGTTACTGGGGCATCTTTCCTTTTCAGATTCTGAGATAGCTCAAGAGTGAAAATTGGATGTCCTTCGTGACTTTAGGAAAGTCCCTAAGAATAGGGGGCTGGTTGCCAGGGGAAGTAACTACATGATTAGAGGGTTGAAACTTGCAGTCCTATCCCCCTCTGACCTCTGGGAGGGGAGAGGGACTGGAGGTTGAATCAATGGCCAGTGCTTTAATCAATCATTCCTCCACAATAAAGCCTCCATTAAAAACCCAAAAAGGACAGGTTCAGAGAGCTTCCATTTGGTGAGTGCGTGGAGGTGCTGAGAAGGTGGCGAGCCCAAGGAGGACATGGAATGGAAGTTCTGTAGCTTTTTTCCCAAACCCTGCCTTGTGCATCTCTTCCACCTGGCTATCTCGAGTTAGATCCTTTCAAAATAAACTGGAAATCCAGCAGACAAACTTTTTCTAAGTTCTGTGAGGTGCTTCAGCAAGTTAATTGAACCCCAGGAAGGGGCTGTATGACTCCAATTTATAGCTAGGTCAGTCAGGAGCACAGGTGACAACCTGAACTTGTGATTGGTGTGTGAAGTGAGGTGGGGAGGCCTTAATCTGTGGGATCTGACACTTATGTCCCAGTCGTGTCAAAATTGAGTTAAATTATAGGGTACTTAATATGTTACAGAATTGTGTGGAATGGGGAAAAAAGAACAACTACACATTTGGTGATCAGAAGTGAACATAGTGCTGTGAGTAAACAAAACAGGAGAGTATTTTTTCCTTAGCAGGCTCTAAAGAAGTGCAGTTCTGAAATGCCTGAAGGCAGTAGCTCTCAGCGTTAGTGTGCTCTCAACCACCTGCCAGACTTAAAATCCAAATTGGTGGACTCCATCACCAGTTTCTTCTTTTTAATGTCTTTTGTTACTTTATTTTCTATTATTTTTTTATTGATAATGCTATTACAATTGCTCCAATTTCCCTCTCTGCCCCCCTCCATCCAGCACCCCACTCTCTCAGACAAATCACACCATTTTTCATGTCCTTGGGTCGTGCATATAAGTTCTTTGGCTATTCCATTTCTTGTACTGACTTTACATCCCCATGGCTACTTTGTAACTACCTATTTTTACTTCTTAATCCCCTCACCTCTCCACCCATTCCCCCACATCCCCTTCCAGCTGGAAAATATCAAAATGCTCTCCATATACATGATTCTGTCTCTGTTCTTGTTTCTTTGTTTTTTAAATTCAGTTGTTGATAGTTATGCATTTATTGCCATTTTATTGTGCATAGTTTTGATCTTTTCTTAAAATAAGTCCCTTTAGCATTTCATATAATACTGGTTTGGTGATGATGAACTCCTTTAGTTTTTTTCTTGTCTGGGAAGCTCTTTATCTGCCCTTTGATTCTAAATGATATCTTTGTAGGGTAGAGCAATCTTGGCTGTATGTACCTGCTTTCATGACTTTGGATATTTCTTGCCAATCCCTTCTAGCCTGCAAAGTTTCTTTTGAGAAATCAGCCAATAGTCTTATGGGAACTCCCCTGTAGGTAACTAACTTCTTTTCTCTTGCTGCTTTTAAGATCCTCTCTTTATCTTTAACCTTTGGCATTTTAATTATGATGTGTCTTGGAGTGGGCTCCTTTCCATCCATTTTCTTTGGGACTCTCTGTGGTTCTTGGACTTGCATGCCTACTTCCTTCACCATATTACGGGAGCTTTCTTTCATTATTTTTTCAAATAGCTTTCCAGTTTCTTGCTCTTTCTCTTCTCTTCTGACACCCCTATGATGTGAATGTTGGAACATTTGAAGTCCCAGAGGCTGCTTACACTATTCTCATTTTTTTTTTTTGTTTTTCTTCTTGCTGTTCTAGTTGATTGTTTTTTGTTCCTTTATGTTCCAAATCTTTGATTTGATTCTTGGCTTCATCTACTCTACTGTTGTTGCCCTGTAAATTGTTCTTTATTTCAATTAGTGAATCCTTTGTTTCTGAATGGATCTTTTTTATTCTGTTGAGGTCCTTACTAAGTTTCTTGAGCATCTTTATAACCAGTGTTTTAAACTCTGCATCTGATAAGATTGCTTACCTCCCTTTTGTTTAGTTTTCTTTTTCTGGAGTTTTGATCTGTTCTTTCATTTAGGCCCCGATTCTTTGTGTCCTACTTTTGGCATCCTACCTGTGTTTGTTTCTATGTATTAGGTAAAGCTGCTATAACTCCTTGTCTTGGTAGTGTGACCTAATGTAGTAGGTGTCCTGTAGAGTCCAGTGGCACAGCCTCCCCTGTCACACAAGCTGGGTACTTGAGATGTGCCGAAGTCCCCACTCCTCTTGTAGTTGAGCCATGATTGCTGTCAGCAGGTTAATGTGAGGGATATACCCAGGCCAATCACTTGGAAGGACTGGTTCTGACCACTGACTGCCAACCTCCACCCTTTGTAGAGGATCAGCTGTGCAGGAGCAGGGTGGTGGTGCTCCAATGTGATCTATAGCTGTCCACTGGGTGTGCAGGCTTGGTGTTTCCCAGGTGGTGCGGGCCAAGGTCAGCTCCCCTTTGTGTTCTATCTGGGGGCCACCCTGCATGAGGTATAAAGCAATCAGATGGCTGCTATTTGTGCTGGGCTTGACAATTCCCAGGTGAAGCCAAGCTGTGAATCTATGTTGGTTGCTGCTAGTGCCAGGCTTGGGGCCACTTAGCAAGAGGTATAGGGGCTGAGGGCTCACTGAAGCCAGCTGTTGCTTGTTTGAGAAGATTCAGGAAGTTGTGAAGCATGAGCCAAGACCAGTCATTCACATGGAAAAGTCTCTGTAACAGTTGGGTAAGACAGAGTCTCAGGGGATCTTCATGGTGGGGCAAATGGTGTTAGCAAAGTTGATGGAGTCTCAGATATGGCAGGCTCTGTGTCTCTGTTGGGGGAAGGTTCTGGAAAGAGACAGTGGCCTCTGCCTGCCTTTCTGTCTGGGAGAAAACTGTCCCCCAGCTCTTGCCTTGATGACAGACACTTCAGTTTCTAAATGCCACTGGTGCCCTTCAAGCTGCTCTCTTGGTGCTGGAGCTCAGAGGGAGTGAGTCTGAATAAGTCCATGTGTGGGTTTTTAAGAGGAACTGCTTGGGACTCTAGGAGTTCTTCCACCAACTCAGTTCCTGCTGGTTTTTGCAGCCAGAAGCTATGGGGACTTACCTTCCTAGCAGTGGAACGCTGGGATGGGGGTCCTGGTGTGGAGCTGGGACTCCTTGCTTCTGAGATATTGCTTCCGAATTTTTATTCACTGCATGTGGATGTGGGACCAGCTCATTCTGCATCTCTGCCCCTCTTACTGGTCTGAATGGATGTGGTTTCTTTAATTCTGTAGTTGTCAGACTTCCATTCAGCTCAGTATCTGATGGTTCTGAGTGATGGTTTTATAGTTTGGTTGTAGTTTTGATGTGGTTGTGCGAGGAAGCCAGCAGTGATTACCTATGTCACTATCTTGACCAGAAGTCCATCCCCAGTTTCTGATTTAGCATCTCTGGGAGATCATCTAAAGATCTGAATTTCTAACATGTGCTCACTTGATATTTATGGTACTGGTTCCTGGAATGTATTTTGAGAGCTACTAGATCTGGTCTAACAACTCTTATAAGCTGGTTTCAGCCTAAGGTATGGACAGAGTTAAAATAAGCATAATTAGACATCACGGTAATAGGTGATAATATATCATGCAAAATTTTAAAGTAGTACAACTGTAAAATAACAGCTTCCTTAAAATAATAGCACTTCCCAAAAAAACATACCAAATAATGTTTCAAGGACAGAATTTACAGGCCAGTAATATCCAGTTCCATTTTACTTTCTGAATAGATTTTTGCAAAGTTTTCCTGGGTCCCTTTCTGCCTCTTCTTTTTTTCTTGAGGCTTTTCAAGTAGCATTTTCTTAATGACCTTCTTCTAAAAGACTGGCTTCATTGAGTCTGTGAAATCTGTTCTGAGTTCTTCATTGTTAGCTTAAATCTCATATCCTTTTCCACTGCCTTCTCTAGCTCCTTGAAGGTTCAGGCCTGTCCCAGTTCTTGAGTCAATTCCTAAAGGGGCAGAACATGTCTCTATTAATGGTTCTTGATCTGCTCCTGAATTCCAGCTCATTTGCCAGGCATTCTGGTTTCCCTCTACCAGCCTCCTCCTTAGGACCATGCCTTCAGAGGCTCTAGCCAGGAGTGGGGCCACCCGCCACATCTGGACTGATCTCCTGGAACCGTCTCTGATACCAACAAACAACAGAAACCTAGAGTTAAGTTCCCTCTTTTTAGTTATCCTGTTCAGGGGGATCCCTTCACAATAAAAGTAATGAAACCCCCCTCCATTAATTTTTAATTCTGTCTCATTTCTATTAATGGGGCTACTCTGTTTCTTGAGCTAAAAACTTTTTAAAAAAATTTTTCATCCTTTTTCTCCTGTGTTCCCTGTTCAATAAATGGCAAATTGTGTTGACTAAATAGGATATCTTCATAGTGCCTCATTTGCCTCCTCTGCATTCTCCCTGTTGCCATCCTCTGCCCTGTTCAAGACCGATCAGAATTGTTTCAGATTCCTTATGTCTCAGAGTTGGAAAACATCACAGATGTTATGTAGTTCAACTACTTATTTTGTGTTTGAATTTTCACCCCGATGTTCTCATTCAGTACAACACATTCATTACTGGCGAACTCAGTATTTCTTAAATCATAACCCATTCAGTCTTCAGAGGATATCACTACCAAGTTCTTCATGTCAAACACATGTATGCATATAATATCTTTTAAAGAAAAAGTTACTGTAATATTTAAGGTAGAAACAATTGTCTATGGAG